AACTCCCCTCCCCCCCACCCCCAACCCCACCCCACGCCAGCTGCCAGAGACGCGGGGGATGCCTCAGCTGGACACGTTTGACGAACTACTGGAGTGGCTCCACCGCAATGGCCGTACGACAGCAGCGACTGCCGCTACTGCAGCTTCTGCTGCTGCTGCTGGTACTGCGGTATCCCTGGAGTTGACCCGGCGTGATGTGAGCGCTGCGGCGCCCTATGGTACGACGACCGAGCTTGACGTCGATGATGTGCTGCGCGATGATGGCTACGGCTGCGGAAGTGGCGAAGTGCGCCAGGACAGTAGCGGCGGCGGCGGCGGCGGCTTGGAGTTTAAGCTGCCGTAAGGGGGGTTGTGTTTGTCGCCGGAAAGCGGTGGTGATGGCTGATTTTGACGAATGATGCGTGCGGGGATGGTGGGGGTGAGGGTGGCGGCGAAATTTGATGGGGATGCCCCTGGAGCGGGGGCCCTTGCGGAGTAGCATTCATTTTAAGGTGGTACGCCAAGGAGTGTTGAGAACATTGTCTGTTGCCTGAAGCTTTACATTGTTTCGTGTGCTCCTGCATGTATGTATGTATGTATATGCGTGTCATGTGAACGGAGATTGGGGCTTCATTGGCGGGTGTACTGCTGGCACGACATACATACATACATAATTACGTGCATTCATGCTTTAGAGGGCGGGCGAATGGAAGGCATCAAGTTGTTGTTGTTGGGGACAGAATGATGATGGAGTGTTCTTCGTGGTATGCTGTGGTCTGAATTAGTTGTACTGCAGTCGTACATGTCAGGTGCCGCCGATGACCTCTCAGGCAGCACCTTAGAGCACGGCGATTACCCCCCCGCGGTTCCCACCACCACCGATAGCAGCCTTGCATGGCCGAACCTTGTACTGCACTGCACTGCGTTGCGTTGCTTTGGTTTGATTTTTCCCTAATTGCCCCCTGTTATTCCTTTCGCTCTGCGTGTTTTGGCAGCTCGGTACATCTGCCACGTAGCCTCCACACCACGTACCTCCACGACTTTTCTTGGCTTTAGCGTCACGTGGCTGTACATGTGTTAATGTGGTGTTCATGTGTTAATGTGGTGTTCATGTGTTAATGTGGTGTTCATGTGTTAATGTGGTGTTCATGTGTTAATGTGGTGTTCATGTGTTAATGTGGTGTTCATGTGTTAATGTGGTGTTCATGTGTTAATGTGGTGTTCATGTGTTAATGTGGTGTACATGGTGTTCATGGCGTACTCGCCCTCCCAGAGGGTCACTGCGTTCTCCGCGCACAAGTACTTGTGTTGCTGTGTTGCACCATTCAGCATTATTTTGCTTTAGGGTTTAGGGGGGTTGTAGGTTTTCTTTGTCGTCGGCCCCTGTCGTATCACATCTTAATGCTTGGGGGTTAGGTAGGGGAGGGAAGAAGAGTGCATGGAGTAGTGCTGATGGTAGGGCGCGAGGCTGGGGAAGGCATCCGCTGAGGCACACACATACACACACACGCACACACATACGCATACACACCCCACATGTTTGGCGGTCCAGGACGGGTGCGTGGAGGTGGATTTGCGACTGCTGTAGGTGTGGAGGTGGAGGATTTGACGAGTGGTGGGTAGTGGCGGCGCGCCGGTAGGGATCTGCAGGGGCCTAACCTAGGGGTTATTTGTATTCGTTTTGGGGATGGATGGGGGGCTGAGGAGGGATATGTTGGCCGGGGTGTGGCTAGACTGTCTGACGCACCTCTTTTTGCCCTGCCCTGCTAGGCGGCATCTGCCGCATGATGGAACGCTGAGTCGCCTGAGGGGCTCCGCCGCAGGTTAAGGGGCCCCGTGCCCCCCTCGCCCTGCACACGTGCATGTTTTTTGTTTCATCCGATTTGGACCTGGATAGGCCAGCAGGCTCTTACATGGGTTTGAACGGATGCCTGTAAGCCTGATGTGTGTGAGCCGTACACACCTAAAAACCCAAACCGTAACCAGCTAACCAGAACTCAAAAGCCCGAAACGAACCACTTACATCAACCAACCAACCAACGCATTGGAGCCGCAAGAAGGTGACCCGCACGGAAGTAACAACCCCCTTTGGGTTGTGTGCTTAGTTGGAAAGCACCGCATACATAATACGGGTATGTCTGTCTGTCTGTCTGTCTGGAACCCGGAAGTGGTGCTTGTGCACATTAACGATCAAGCATGCTCCACCACCACTTCTTGGCGGCCATTGGCGGGATCGGCATGCAGTGTCCAGTGATTGGCTTCGGAGCCTTTGGGGCACCGTCGCCACCATGGGCTTCGGAGCCATCATCATCACCATCATCATCATCATCATCATCATCATCATCGCCATCATCGCCATCATCATCATCATCATCATCATCATCACCATCATCATCACCATCATCATCACCACATCAGCAGCAGCACCACCATCATCAATATCACCCGGCCGCGATGGCGGCAAAGACATAAAAGAACGCTCATGGAGGTGGAGGAGGAATGCGGAGGCCAGGGAGACTGGGGCCACTGCTGGGCGCCGCACCCCTGCTTTGGGCCTGACGCCGTGCGCAAGGCTCCAGCCCCATTGTACGACATGCCTGGACCTGTTAGCTCAGAGCCAGTGCCAGTGCCTCATACTTCGTAACTTCAATTCTCCCGCTGGATCTCTCTCTCTCTCTCCGTCTTCATAGGATAAAAACCGTAACACGTGCCCGGTGAAGTTCCCGGTGCCCCGAATACAATCACACACCCACCTAATGATACACCTCACATATAAAACCGATAGGCAGCAATTGACCATGTTTTGCACACACGCTGTGTGTATTTGTTTGTACTATATCTGTAGTTGCTAGCAGTACAGTATAATACAATACAGTGCAGTACAGGTACATGGCCAACAACCGCAAAGTGGCGGCGGTTTGGCGGCGGGGAAGTTGTTGGCGCAGTGCTTGGCGCGCCGCTGTGTGTGCACCCGGGGGCACAATAACCGGGGGATCCCACCTATCACCGAATGATGCCCCGAAACCACCACAACCCACCCACGACCTTGGCGTGCAGGGCCCCCACTAATTAACGCGTTCTTCAAGTATTACGTATGTAAGTATGTGTGTACGTGCGTGCGTGTGTACGATATCCGTATATGTGTACGATATCAACAGTGTCTGTGTATTATTCAAACGGCACATACACACACACACACATTCTGCACGGCAGTGCTGCACGCACAGGACAACGGAAGCCCCTCCCCAATCACACGCAAGGGGATGATATACCAGTGTTGACGATTGTGTTTAACATTGATATAATTAGATAATAAGATACGAATGGTGGTGATGACGATGCTCGTGCGATGGTTGCTTGTAATAATGTTGCAAAGCTGGAAATTCCCGATCGCTGCCTTTTTCCTTCCTTTGATTTCTCTTCCCCACCTCCCTTTCCTGGTGTGTCCGAAACACACGGTGATCTAAGAGCCACCCCCCCGGGTAGGTTCCGAGCGACGCGACGGCGTTGGCCGCCCGACACCCTACAACCGCCAACTGCCCAACCTCCAACCCCCAAAACCAGGCCATTAGTATAACCCAGTATAACCCAGTAACAGCCGAGTATTTCAACGTCGAGCTCAACATCCCAACAAGGACAAGGAAGTCGCACAACGCCTCCGTCTTATTTTGCGCCGCACCTCCTCCTCCCTCCCTCCCGCCCTCTCTCACCCCCGTACAACCATTCATGGTATCACCCAAATAGTACGGTGGGCTGCCACACGGATGTGTGTGTGTGTTTACGCCTCGCCTGCCCTCCTTTTCCCATCCCCTCTCCTTCCCCCCTCACCCCAGCGTACGGCATCACCACTTCTGGCCCCAATCGGGCCATCTAGCCACCTGCCCCTCCTGCCAGCTGCCAGAGCAGCTCAGGGTGGTAGGCGCTGGGTCCGGTTCTGGTCTTGGGAACTCACTACCGCTACAGCTACTGCTGCTGCTACCGCTACGGCTACCGCTACTGCTGCTGCCACCGCTACTGCTGCTGCCACCGATACTGCTGCTACGATACCGCTACTGCTGCTACAGCTACTGCTACTGCAACCGCTGCTGCTACAGCTACTGCTGTACCTTTATTCGTCCTCCTCGTCCTCCTCCAGTATGGCGCCACCGTTGGTGCCCAAGGCCAACAGCAAGTCAGTCAGCCGCCTGGATGCAGTCTCGAGAACCAAGACTGGGGAGGTTACGGAGGCGAGAAGCGGAGCGCCGGCGGAGGCGGAGGCGCCGACGCTCGGGCTGCCGACGGTACCCGCGAGCTGCTGCTGCTGCTGCTGCTGGGGCACGGAGCCCTCCCGGAAGAGGTCCCTGGATGACGTACCAGCGTCGTACATCCTGTTCATGCTGCCATTCAATTTTAGCTGCTGAACCTTAGCCAGCGGCTCGGATTGGGCCGTGCCGCCGCCGCCGCCGCCGCTGCGGAGCCGCTCCAGGGCGGACGCGGCGGCGGCGGCGGCGGACGCAGCGGCGCCAGTGCCGCTGGCGCTGCCGCCGCTGCGGTCGACGGAGAGGCGATGACGACTGCCCAGGAGTGACGCCGCCGCCGTCACCACTGACGGCGGCGTTGCAGCGCCGCTGCCGCTATAGCCGCCGCGGCCGCTGCCGTCAGCGGCTCCTGCGTCCTGGGCCTGCAGGCTGCCTGGCAGGGAAATTTGCTGTCCGCTCGTCCAACCATCAGCGGGTGGCGCCTCGCGCCTTGGTACGACAGGAGCTCCGCCGCCACCCGTGGAAAAGGTCGTCGTACCCGCGACATTCCGTACAGAGACCGCTGGCGGCTGCTGCCCGGGGTATGGTAGCAGGCTGCTAGCGCTGCGCGTGGCGACGGGGAGCGCCGGCGCCGCCGCGGCCGCCGATATCGGTGCCGGTTCACCTGCGGCATGTACGGATGCACAAATGTACGACACAATGAGCGTTTTCCGTGTCTGCACCTAACTAACCGCAGAGGTAGCACCCCATGCTAGTTGATGCGGGTTACACCGTACGAGGGCGACGGGTCCGATACTGCATACCTCCCCTGGTGCCGCATTACCGTTGCAGTGCCGGGCGGTTAGGGGGAACACGCCACTATCGCCCCTCCCCTCCTCCCCGTCCGCCCACTCCGCCCAAACACCTACCAAGTACTAAGGAGCCGCGACTGAAGGGAACGCCGTCCGCCGCCGCCGCCGCCGCCACCGTCGTAGTAGTAGTAGGACTAGTGCCCCGAAATCGGGAGAAGCTCGTCCTGTTCACGTGCAACAGCGTACAACAGCCGTACGACATGTTTTGTTACGGTACGGTACGGTACGGGTTGACCCTTACACGTTTCATCGTTACAAGGAGGTCCGATTACAATAAAAAGACACGTGTTCCCCTTCGCGAGCGGCAATCAGCCAGTCCGTCCGTCCGTCCAAGGAAATCCGTACGTGAGAGACGGATATCGAGGTGGCTGATATCGCGGATGGTAATGCGGGAAAAGGGAAAGGGGTGAACGCGGTGCGGGGCTCAGGGAAGGGGCTCAGGGAAGGGCTCCTGTCCTGTGTAATACAACCGGTGGCGCTGAGGACCTTGCCTGTGTGCGAGATGGCCGTTTGCGTCTGAAACACCACCGCCGCCGCCGCCGCCGCCGCCACCGAGGTTGAATCTCGTACTGCGATCGTCCGAGCTACGCCTCGGTCGCGATTGCTCATGGTTAAAAGGTTCAACGGCCTCCGCCTGGCTGCCGCCGCCGCCGCCGCCGCCAACGGAGCCGTCATCGCCATCCGCCGCCGCAGTACCGAGGATTTCTCTTAGCTTGTGAGCGTACCAGACTGGGGACTTCCCGGGAGGCAAACTGCGGAGAATTTCTTCGCGTGTCGCCGCCGTCAGTTGACCGCCGCCGCGGCGGCTGCCGCCGCCGCCGCCGCCAGAGCGGAGGCTCCTGCCGCCGCCGTCACCGCCGCCGCTGCTGATGCTCTGTGACGACATGGAAGTGGGCTCAGAGGTTTGGACCCGTACGGCAGAACCGCCGGCAGCGGCGGGTAAACGCTGCGGAGGCTGCGGCAGCGCACCCAATGTGGCGCCGTTCGGCCTAGCTGAGTGGAAGCTACCTTCTGCGCCGGCCGGCGGCTGCGGCTGCGGCGGCGGCGAAGTAACTGGTGTAATGTACGACTTGGAAATCTCAGACAGCTGTCGGCGGGGTTGAGACTGCTGATGCGCAATGCAGCCGGAGGTCGCGCGCGTAAGGTCGCCGCCGCCGCCGCCGCTGCCGCCAAAGTCGCGGTTAGACTGGCTAGCCTCTAAGGGTACGGCACTGTGTTCACGCGCGTACAGAACCGACGGCCCAGACATCCAGCCAGATGATGACACGTCTGAACGCCGAGAGCCGCCGCCGCCGCCGCCGTCACCCATGGTGGCACGGACACTGATGATGCGGGTAGGAAATGCGGCAGCGGCGGCGGCGTCGTCAGATTCGCCACCCAGCGCCGCCATGGCCGTACTGCTGTTCGCCAAGCGAGAAGGTGCATTGCCGCTGCCAGCGGCTGCCCAGTTGGCCTGCGAGCTGCCCCCTCCGCCGTGGTGACTGCTGCCTTGGGACATTCGAAGGAACCCGCCGCCGCCGCCGCCGCCGCCGCTGCCGCTTGCACCGACGGCAGCGGCGGCGGTGGCGTCCGTCCAGGCGCTGCCGCTATTCTTCCTCCCATAAAAAAGAGCCTGCTGGCACTCCAGGGATATGTCCACGGAGCTGGCGACACTGCTGTCGCGAGGCAGTGGTACGGCAGCCAGTCCCGCCGGTGTCGGCGGCAGAATGGTGTCGCCGGTGGCTGAGCCCAAAATGCCACTCTTGATGGAGCCGCCGCCGCCGCCGCCGCTACCGCTACCGCTAACGTTGACGCCGGAGTTGGACGCCAGTGCGGCGGCCAGGCGCAGGAGCGCCTCTTCATCTCCCGCTGCCGCGGCATCCAGGGGCGTGTCGGCCTTTTTGAGGATGCCTCGCTGCGCCCGTTGATAGCCCAATCGAGGTGCGGTGCGGTACAATACGGTACGACGGGAAAACTCAATGTGAGGTGAGTGGCGGGAAACTAGCGGTATGTACAGGGGGGAACTCCTGGGTGCCTATGTTGGTGGGGGAGGTGAGCTTTCATCGCAAAGGACGCAACAGGCGAGGGCAGGGTCCCTGCCGGGGGCGGCAGTACGGTGCCGTACAAACCCACCTTGGGCTGGGCCGTCTTCAATTGCGCTAAGAGTGACGACTTCATGCTGCCGTGTACGGATCCCGAAAGGATGCGGCCTTTGGAAGAGCCGTCACCGCCGGGGTCGTCGTCGTCGTCGCCCTCATTGTCGGTGGTGCCAGCGGCAGTTGCGGACGGCTTCCGCCTGGCGCTGGTGCTGGCGCTGGTGCTGGCGCTGTTACGGCGCTGTACGCTCGGCGGATCGGAACGGAACAGATCTGCTGAGCCGCCGCGGGAAATAAAACTCAGAAGCAGCCCTTTGCCGGTCTGCGGAAGAAAAAGCACAGAAAAATAGTAAAAATCAAGGAAAAAACGTCGCGAAAAAGTAAAAATACAGCATCAGGGTGCCGCTGCCGAAATCAAACTCGATAAAAAAAAGAAAATTCTGTCCAAGGAATTGTTAATATTAATACGTTTTATTATTGCGTCTGGATATCTGTTTATGTATTTTACTGCGCGCACGGATGAGCTACATGGCTATGGCCTCATACTGGTTGGGAGGTTGTGTGGGCTGTACGGTTGTACTGTGACGTACCGATCGGTCCTCATCGATGCCCTTGTACGACGCCTTGCCCATTCCACTGCTCCCCCCGGGCCCCCATAGCCGCGAGGAGGATGTACTGCCGCTGCTGACTTGCACACCCTGACCCATTAAACCTCCGTGTACGGAAGATGTCGTACCACCCAAGAACGACTGTTGGTGGCCCTGCAATAGCGAGAGCAGCAGCAGTAGCAGTAGTAGTACTAGTACTAGCACGAGTAGTTTTAAGCAGCTGCGGAATGAGGTTAGGCAGCATTGGTTTCATTATGTTTTCAGCTAATAATAAGGTTTGGTGGCGGAGTCAGGTGCTACCCACCAAGCCCTTGAGGCTCCGTACGCGTGGCGGCGGGTCTGCAGACGAGTCCGCCAGTGTGGGGACGACTCGGCTTCTGGGTTGGCTAGTGGTTGACGCGGTGACCGTCGCCAGGACATCTTCGTCGGCTGGCGGTCGGAAACAGCACCACGTCAGCATGGCTGCGCACCGGCCCGGAGTTCCCCTGGTGGCTGGGCAGCCAGGCTGGCTGGCTGGCTGGCTGGCTGGCTGGCTGGCTGGCTGGCTGAGCAAGAGGCGGCTGCGTGTCTCTCACGTTTTGTGATATGTTGTTATTGGTGACAGGGGGAAGCGCTGAGCACCTGCTGGATGAGTTGCGCAATGCGCAAAGGGGAATGCGTAAAGGTTGGGAGGCCAGGTGTTTTTGCTGTGGTTGGCCAGGGTGGCGTGCAACCTAGTTTTGTAGTGGATGCGTGCGGGCATATGCCTGCCCACCTCATTCCATACACCAACAGGCAATACTTTATCTTTGGTTAATTTAATTTAGCAGGAATAGTTTAGATGAAATCAAACAAACAAACATAAGCTAAATCAACATTTTCCTATGACAGAAAGCTGCTGCTGAACTCAACGGCCCAGACGGACCTTCTGTCACGCGGTGTGCCGCTAAGTCGTAGCATTCTCCCACAGGACTCCCCACAGGACAGATTATGGGTATGGAATATTAATGTGCCTTGACTAATTGGCATTTCGGAAATGGGTACTACGAGCACATTGTGTCAGGCGAAAAACCGGGGCACTTCTCCCTGGCACAGCCATAATAACAAGCACAGATGTAATGAATACCCCGTTTTACATACACGCGCAAATTGACGAATTGTTATGGGCTCAGAAGCAGGGCTGTCAGCAGGGTTTACTTGTAACTGACAGGTTCAGTTGGTTCCCCTGCGGAATTCCATTTGCCTTCATTGCAGCGTTGCTAAAGCAAACATTTATTTGAGCAAATAAAACCTGGCATAACCGAGGTTCCCAACGGGGTCACCTGTCCCGAAATCTGTGCCTGACGCTTCTATGGAACCAATTTTCCTTACCAAAAGCAGGCACATATTCACGCTGGTAACTTGTGAATGTTCATTTCAGGAACGGATGTTAATGGCCGTAGACGTGCACGTAACCCGTTTGCCCATCCTTACCTACAGCCATTAACCAGCAACTTTAGCTCGGTGCAGCCCTGCTCAATAGAGTCCAAAGCAAGGTATAGACTTTGGGCATCTCATGTTGCACGAAACATGTATGGGTTCGCCGGGGCATTCCATAAAAGCTATATTTGCACGAGCAGAAAGCAAAAGGTTATTTGTATAACAGGAATTAAATTGCGAAACTTATGAAGACTAGGGATATGGTTTAACCACATGACAACATAGCCGTATGCGCACATCGAATTCCAAATATCCGTACCCAATGTCCCAGTGGCAAAAACACGCATATTGCGCACGCAAGGTGCCCTATCGCAGCGCATCTTACGTGAAATAGTTTCCCTTAACTTATTGAGGCTGAGGCCGTGCCAATGCTCTATGGCCGGCAGGAAGCAGGCAGATGCATGAACCGAAGGGACATGGAAACCCCTCCGGACCCAGTGAAGGTTATATAGTTATTACCATGTTTTTCTGACCAGTCAGCAAATAACCATGTAATCAAGATGTCATTGGATTTCGCACATCAAGCAGGTATACGGAAGCAGGTTATCTTGTCGGTGCCAACTGGGATGTCGAACCAGTGCACGATAATGTGCGCACAGCTGTCCCCCACAACAGTCACAACGATATGACGGTGCCCTTTTTTACACAAATACACTTCCACATGTTCTCCAGCGCGGCGACCGAGCGTACGCGATATTCCGATTCCGTAAAGCCCCCCTCCCTTTCTGCAGCACAAGTTGGCTTAATTGCAACGTCCATGTCCTCACCGTCAAATAATCCCCAATCAAGATTTAGGGCGGTGATATCCAGAAAACAAACAGCCAATCCAGAGCAACTTTCCGTACGTCTCACGCCGCAAGCTCTACGGTCAGGATATGGAAGTGCCCCAACGTGGACGGTCATCTGCTACGCCCCATCGCGTGCACGAAGCAATCTAGCTGAATAGGCACACCTGGCCACCCTCATTCAGCACCCGGCCGAAAGAAGTCCGCTCTCCTTTCCCTCTCCAATACAACAACCGAACAGTTTACATGGAGAGCCACTCTTCAGAAGGAACGGCAAAGGGCACAAAAACGGTGATAAAGCCCCCCTCCCTGAACAGTCTGCGCAATCCGACCTCACCTAAATGAACTGGTCGACTAGATTTTTGGTGATCATGCCCAGCCAGACCAAGAACTGGTCGGTCCACCGCCCCAAGCTCGATACTACCCGGACTGACCGACCCAGACAAAACCAGGCCGACCCAAGCTCAGCTCAGCACGGACCCAAATCCGGACCGATTTTTCGGCAAAAGACACAATCCAAACTCGGGCCTGGCCTGGCCTGGCCCAACACGAGGCTCCAATGGTGACGTGGTGTGAGGCCAATCAATCGACCTCAATCGGGCTCGCCGCCACTCCACAAGAAAGGCACAAGCGGCAGCGACCACGACGATCGGAACGACAGTGCAGAGGCAGCGGCGACAATTTCCTTAGAACACCACCGTATCCAGCATCGTTCCCATGCTCTGTGCGATGTTGGAGGCCATCACCGCGGACACCTGAAGGCGAGCGACACCGCAACCACACCGTCGGGAGGGAGCGACAGCAACCGTCCACCGGGCCGCGTCTGGTTGGATGCTGGTAGTGGCGGTGGTAACTTGGCTACCTGCTATTGGTGGTGTAATAGGGTTATGCTGAATGCTGGATGCTCTGAGTCCCGCCTCCATCGGACACCCGTGGCTCCTCCGTTTCCTATCACCCGCCCTGGGCCTAACTCAGTAGGGTCAGGTGCTCCTTGCCTACCCTAGGCCGGTCCTTCGCGATCTTCCTCTGCCTTCCTAGGGCCCAGCCCCGGGCCCACCCATCAGCCCCGGGTTCCCAGTCCCGCCTGGAATCCTTTCCTTGGCAAATCCCAACCCGCGCCACGGGACACCCCCACTCAGCCGTTTTGAGTGTCTGTCCATCCCATCCCCCCGCACCTGCGCCGACAGATGCTTCTTGGCGTCCATCTTGCCCGCCCCCGCCACCACACGGGCCTCCGGAGACAGCTCCTGCTCCTCAATCACGGCCTTGTCGTACCTGCAAAACACATGCGCGCGGTGCACACGCAAAGGAACGACCTGTTACCAGCGTACAGACCCTTGGATTGTGTGCTTTTGCGCAGGGCTCAGCCGGGCGCTTCCTTTCCTACTTCGCACAGAACACAGTGCTCCTGTTAGGAATAAGAGTATAAAACAACCCGCGGCGCCATGAAACAGTCGGAGGTAATGGACAACCTAGGGCAGGCGGCTGGCAGAAGTTAAGGCCTGACTTCTGCTCCCGGAGTGTCCGGGTTCAAATCCGCCTGCCGACCCCTCGGGTGTGTGAGGGGTGATGTATTGGGAGGTGGCCCTCCATCTTGTGGACGGTGTAGGACGTGATAAAATCAACTTGCGAGCTGACCAGGAACTAAGTTGACGCGCCGTTGATCCGCTAGATTTGGTTGGATGCTGGTGGTGAGTTGCCAAACTCAAAAGAGTACACTCTGAAGTCTGATGGGGTGATTGGATTAGGGTGCCCCTCTAGCAGGGGAGAGCAGGGAGCTGCCTCGGGAAGGAGGCCACTGGTGAAGCTTAACCATCCTGTAACAACATCAACCTAAATGCTCATGGCCTGGTCGCACGCCGCCGCCTCCCAACCCTGCCTCCCGCTCCTTTTTCCCAACCTGCGGCCCCCATCATCTGTCCCTCGGTGACCCCAGCCTATCACCCTTCCCCCACCCCCTCCCAGGCCGCTCAGCCCCCTGCACCTCTCCGCCAGGCTCTTGAGCTCCTTCACCACCTTTTCGTTGGCGTCGCTGTGTACCGAGAAATCCGCCAATCTCAGTCCGGCCGTCCAGCCCTGCTTGGACAGATTGAGCAACATGCGCTCCTCCAACTCGTTCTTGCTGCGGAGTGCGGGACGCAACAGCGGGGAACGAGCGGAGATGGACAGATGGGAAGACATCCGAAAACAGTTAAGATGTAGCGACGGTCAGGAGGACCATCGCCTGGGAAACCTGCAGCAAACGCAACTGCCGGACTACGGGCGCACGCCGCTACGTGTTATCCGCTAATCTCTACTCCACTCCACTCCACTCCACTCCACACAGCCTGTGTTGTCTGTTCTTCAGCGCGTGTTGTCCGCACGTGAACAGCTCAAGGGACGCAAGGGTCCTCAAAACTCCTTTCTCAACTCTCATTCGCGGTTCTGCCACCCACCACCCACCGGTAGTTGATGGTGATCGAGTAGTAATGGCGGTTGAGGCCGTGAATGAGCGCCTGCATGGTGAGGGGCCCCGGAGACAGCGAGGAGATAGGGACAGAGGGAGGGAGGGAGAGGGGGAAAGAGAGGGGGAAAAAGGGGGTTTCTGGGAAGCGCGGCGACAAAGCAGGCCATTGCACACAGCAAGTACACGGGCCTCCCCTCACCTCGATTCCCGCGGCTGATGGATCCCAAAAGCAAGCACCCAACTCCCACTCAGGACATCAAAGCACACATGCATACATTGTTCTGCGTTGTCAAGCTGACAGCGAGAAATCGTTTTACTTCTCATCTGCGACTGCACCTGGATGGATGGCTTGTTGAGGTGACCCAGATTGGAGGTGGTCTGCCGGGGCTCCTGGCCCAGCATCATGGTCTGGGGGCCGACCAGCCGGAACGCGTCAATGACCACCTTGCCCTTCACCGACTGTACGGGGTCCACCACCACCGCCACAGCGCGGCTGTTTAGCGCCTCAAAAGACTGCACAACCCGGCGCAATGCGAGAGGGAAGAAAAGCGAGCAGTAATTGTTTTTAGAAGGCGACGACGAATGAGAAATAAGAACCGCGGGGAATTAGTTGTGGGATGGCAGGGAGCGTGGGAGGACAAGGCAGGTGTCCAGGCGGCAGGGACGTTTTGGTATGACGACGATGGGCAGCAACCTCATGGTAGGCTGAATTAAGGCAGAAGGGCTGTTGTTTCAGGTGGCAAGGTGATACGTCACCATATACGGCTGGTGATGCCAACATGCATTCACGACGCGCTTTCGGACCCACAACAGCCGGACCCCGGCTCCCGACCTGCTGCGTGTTGATATCCACGCCCGACAACCAGCAGCCGAAACCTGGATGGCTGTGGTACCAGCCGACGACCATCTCAGGCCTGCATGGAAATCGACGAGAAGCAGGGTGGGAGAGAGGTTCGTGCCACCCGGTAGTGGGTTTAGTGATGATCCCAGGATAGGGAGCGTGGGAGGACGGCCACAGGATGGCCACAATCCCAGCAGCTGTCACGGTTCACCTACCGGCCGACTTGCTTGAGCATGTCAAGCATCTTGGTCTGGAACACTGGGTCCACGGCCTCGACGCTGACTCCCGTTCCGGATTGCGGCATCGCAAATACGTCCACCACACGGACAGTGTAGTCATCCACGAATTCACCCAGCATAAGTCCCATGACCTCCATGGGCACACCAGCACGGCCTACGGAAAGGTGCGTACATGCGGGGGTGGAGCGTTTCCTGGCAGGCGTGGACCTCGTGTTGGCTGATGGCGCGTGTGGGGACGCGTTGTGTCCCTCATATTGCAGGCCACTTCCTTTCGATCTTGTTACAAATGCCTCATGGATGCATATTGGACACAATGAGCTCGTACCGTGTTTCAACATTTTAAGGAGTGCAAGCGAGGAAATGTAGATCTGCTCCGCCGTGTCCACTTGCACAGTATCTGTTTGTCGCCCTGCAGCTACTGCGCCGCGCATGCCAGCAAACATTCGCAGGTCGTCCATGATTTCGAGCAAAGAGTCGCAAAAAACTGAAGTCGAGCTTTTCTTTCTGCTCAAGACGTCCTCTTAAGTTATTCCTTGTACTAATTTAAAGTATACCAAAGTGCAACCTGATACAAGCTGTGGTCTGAAGGCAGAGACTTAGGTCCGGTGCGATAATAATAACTAGGTCGTTGCCGGGGTAGCTCCCGCCCGCATCAAATAAGCAAGTCCCGTATTTGTAGTTCCCTAACAAACAAATGTTTATTTCGGAGATTTTACAGATGCTACAAGAGGTTACAGATGTGCCATCCTCCGTGCACGGAAGTTGACGCTTCACGTAAAGCACAAACGCAAATCGCAACAAGCGAAACCTAGTAACTAGCCCATGACGATATACATTTTCCCAAGAGTGTTTGATGCCATTGTCTCGTCACGTCACGCATCCTGCTTGTTCGTTGACACAAAACGGGGGAAATGGGTCCGTACCGTGTTGCGCGCTCCATGTGGTACAATACACAGTAAAGAGTAAATGACAGCCCAAACGCATTATCACACTCACGGTGCAACGACGAAACACCCAGTCCATGGCAACCTCCCAGTCTTTGCGCCTCGATGTCGCCCTCACGCAGCCACCACGTCGGCACGGCATAAACGGCGAGCCTTTTCAAAACACGAGCACTCTCATCCTACCAGTGAGCTATGGTAGACGCAAAAAAAAGGCCCACGCCATACACATCAGGATGCCTCCCAATCACCTACATCATTTTCAGTCAGCCAGTGAATCAATCCGATCGCCCGCCCGGCATCCCAAGCCTGATGCACCCTCCTCCTCCACCTCCCGACAAATTAAGCCGCCAAAATCCATCATTGCGAAATCCCACACCCATATAAAATTGTTTTATGGGCTATGCAGGAAGCCCGCCCCAATAACGCGCCACTATTCCCGCCCATCATCCTAACCTCCCAATAAAGCCCCGCCCCTCACCAACGACACGCTCGGCCTAGCATCACTGCAGCAACGGCACGCCACCTGCGCCAAAAACGTCTTCAAACACCGCCACAACCTGCTGCTCCGCGGCCGCTGGGCTGTGCGCCACGCTCACGCATGGCGCCACACCCGCCAGCGCCGCCACCGCTGCCCTCCGCCCGGGTCCCCCGCCAGGAAGGGCTGACAGCACCCCCGGCACTGAGGCAGGGCCCTGAGACTTGCCCAGAGAACCTTGCCGCACCGCCTCACTCGCCACCCGCCCAGCCTCGTCTAACAAGACCTGCAAAGACGTGACGGCGCTGTCGCGAGTCAGAGCGAGCAGGACAAGGTTGCATGGCGGCGGCTGCGGCGGCGGCGGCGGCGGCGCCATCAGAGATTGTTGCCCGCCACGGGCTGCAGCGGTGGCTGCGGCCGCGGCCGCTGCGGCAGCGGCTGACGCGTGAATGCCGTACTGCTGCGCGGAGGAGATCCGGAAGTATGCACGACCCAGATCGGACATGTCTCGAGGTGTCGCGGCGGTGGCGCGTACGGCTCCCAGACGGAAGCCCTCCGAGTGGAGCGCTTGAAGCGTGTCCGCAAGGCGCGGCCAGTCCAAAGCGGGCGGCACACCGTCACCTGAACCCCGCGGGGCCGCGGCGGGTGGGAAGTGCGTTGGGGCGTAGAAATGCGAAAGCCGGAGGGTAAAGAAGGCAGTCCAGACCCCTAGGTAGGGGAACTAAGCGTGCGAAGACCTGACAGTATTCTATTCTTGTAATCATTTCATTTTAGACCAAGTGGCATACAACCGCTAGCAGCAGTAGCAGCAGCAACAGCAGCAGCAGGAACAGCAGCAGCATGATGTGACGAGGACCGCTACGACCACACACAACTCCTCAAGCCGTGCCTCAGGCCTGTGTCCCAAAGCGCAATCGTTGTTTCGTCACAGGACTGAATGTCGTCCCCCTGACGCCCCCCCTGGGCTCCGTGCCTCCGCGCACCAAGCAGGAGGAGGACTCCATATCCGGCCCAAAAAAAGCGCACCTGGGGATGCTAGGGGCGCGCCCGGCGTTACCACCATCGCTGTCAGCTGCAGCAGCCGCGATCCCTCCGGTCGTACAAACCGCCTTGCGCATGGCTTACCCATCGCGCCGCCATGGGACGCGAGCACACCACCATCACCACTAGCTGTGATGCCGGCTCCCCCTCCCGCGCCGACAGTTACGGCCAGACTCGGTCCATCAGCACCGGGTTGCGGCGGGTGCGGCCACAACTCCGCCACCACGTTCACCGCGTCGCGCCACGTAGCGCACGTGTACAAGCCTCCGCCGCAGCCTCCGCCTGCGGCGACGGTGGCGGCAGCCAGCGGCGCCGCCAGCGTAGCTGCCATGACGCGCAGGTGCCGCACCGCGTTGCTGCGGCTCACATGCAGTACAACCGCGGGCTGGGCGCTGAGAGCCGGCATGGCGGCGGCGAAGGCGCTGCCCGGCTGCACCCGACACGTGGAGGCTGCGTGGATTACGTAGCCCTCCCGGGACAGCTGCTTCAGGAGGCGAGGCAACACGTTTCTGTGGAGCGCTGCAAAGTCCAGCGCGACGACCGCAGGCAAGGGCTCTGGCCCCGAAAGCAGCCGGAACAGCGGCGTTGGCGACGCTGCCGCTACGCCAGGGACGTCTATCCCAGTATGCAGCAGGGGCCTGTGGACGCCATCATGCTGCCGAGGGTCAAGGAACACATGCCCTGGCCCGAACGCGTACGACAGGGCGCGCTTGGCTGCAGCCTGCGAGCCGCTGACCGCCGCCAGCGGCTGTTGCACTGCCGTCGCTGCCGCCGCCGTAGCCACCGGCGTCGCATAGTCACGGAGAAGCTGGTTGAGCATGGCGTCCCACGCTGCGTCATCAGAACACAACGGAACTGTTGACGATGACGGTGACGCCAGTTCCAGCGCGCCGTTGAATCGTTGCAGCGCCGCCGCCAGCCAGCGTGTAACACGCAATTGTGCAGCGGGTCCGTGGAAAGCAGCCAGCAGCGCCGGCCGGCTAATTACTAAGCGGTGCCCAACACGAGCGACCCCAACCCCGCCGGCGCCACCCGCTGCCGCCGTCGCGCCAGCGGCGGCGCTGCCCTGGTTCGCATGCAGCACGGCAAGACAGTTCGCTACGTCAGACGGCACCTGCCGCAAGTAGCGGCAGGCGACGAGCTCAAGGCAGTCCGGCGACGACGGTGACCCCGAATCGCGGCTGCCGCTGCCACCACCGGACCCGGTGGCGTGTGCCGTTAGCGCTGCCAGCAAAAGGGCACCGGTGTGGAGCGGGCGAGTCTGCAACGCGACCACTGCGATTTCGTCCTTGCCATGGTGGAGGTGTAGGGCAGCCATGCCCGCGGCGCTGTCAGCCCCGCCGCCACCGACACCGCCGCCGCCCCCGCTGTTGCTTTCACCATCGTCCGCCGGGCTCAGACCGGCGTCAATGGCCGCCGCTGCAGCCAGCAGCTGCTCCGCGACGTAGGGCTGAGGCAGGCCCTGAACATCCGATAGGGCCAGGCGGGTACGGAGAGCATCCGGCGACAGCAGGGATCGCACCACCGCTGACGCCTCAGATTCCGCCAATGCCGCTGCACCTGCGGGTGCTGTCACAAATTGCCGATACGCCGGCGCCGATGGCACGGAGGCCAGCGACAACGGCAGCTGTTCCGTCGCCTCTTCCTTGCTAACCTCGAAAATCAGCGCCGGCGGAGCCGGCGCTGAGCACGGCTCCCTGGGCAGGTGCATCAGCAGCATGCCGCCAAGGCTGTAGCCGCACCAGAGGAGGTGTTGGAGGCACCAGAGTGCGCGCGCCTGCTGTGCCGCGCCGGCCGCTGGCAGCGCGAGCCATTGGGCCTCTGCTGGGCTGCCACCTACCAGGCCGCAGGTCGCCGCAGCCGCAGCCGCGGCGGCAGCAGCGGCGCCCTTGTTTGCGACTGACGGCGCGGTCGAAGTTGGCTGGAGCCTGCCTTGAGGGTGCTGCTGCTGCTGGCGAGGCGACGGAGATGGTGGTGATGCCGGCGTCGGTTGCCCGGCGGCGCCGAAGTGCCCAGCAAACAGCACTGTCAGCTCTCTGGCGGCGGTGGCGTCGTCGTAAGAGCAGGTGATGTGCCGTGCGACGTCGCCGTACAGAGCGTGCAGTGAGGATGGATCCGTTCGGCAGGCCAGGCGCGCATCCGGCGGCCCAAGGGTTGCCTGCCAGCGACGCAGCGGCTCATTGCGGCCTGACAACGCAAGTACGGCAGCGCCGGTGTACGCCAATGGACGGTGCGGCGTCGCCGCCACTACGGCCGCCGCGGCCTCCTCAGTGGAGTACACCACCTGCAAGCCTTGCAATGTGAGGCCCAAGCAGGCCGCTCGGTCGAGCAGGCGGCGTAGCAGATGCGGGTTTCGGAGCGTGCCGGCCGTCACCACGGACACAAAGGTAGTGATGCCGGGCGCGTCAGCAACGGTGGCAGCCGCATTGCCGCCGGCGGTAGCACCTGGTGAAGCTACGGCACATGAGCTGCTTGCTCGGTGCTGGTGCTGGCTGAAAGCATGCGGTGGTAGGCGCAGCGGACTAAACAGCAATTGCGCACCGGGCTGCGTTGCCAGCCACCCGCGCAAAGCCTCATGACCGCCCGGGATCGCCGACCCCCGACTCGCAACGCCTCCGCCGCCGGCCGCGAACTTCTCATCTCTCTCCAGCAGAATCGCGCTCCACGGCACAGCAGCCAACGCCTCCGCCAGCCGCTGCGCGGTGGTCGCAGCAGCCGCCGCGTCCGCTGCCGCCGTGGCAGGTAACTCGTGGCTATATGCGTCAGCGTCAATGCCAGCGCGCGGCACACATGCGACAGCCAAAACCCGCACGTCTGCAATACCAACATCGCCATCACTGCCGCTGCTGGCCTTGCCGACCGGCGCAGCGGCCTTCGGCGCGGGCGGCAGTGGTGGCCACGACGGCGAGACGGCCAGCAGCCGCACACCGACGACAGAGAACGCAGGCAGCTCCTGCCACGTTGCAGCTCTAGAAGCAGGCGCGGCGGTAGCTGTCGCTGACGTCACCGCTACCGCCGCCGCTGCGCGCAGAAGCCACTCGAGGACGGCACCTACCTCCCTGCTAGAAAGGTTGCCGGGCGAGGTAATCAGCAGCGTGAAGCAGCTGGCGTGAGGCAGCCAAGCAGGCAGACGGTACAGGTCAGCCGGCATGCCCGCTGCAGCGGCGGGGGACTTCTCCGGTAGCGGTAGCGGCGGCCCTGCGGCGGCCACCGCTGCCGATCTGACGGTGGCGGTGATGGAGGATGGCGCGACAGGGGACACCAGAGCAACGGCTGCAGTTGCCGCAGCATCGGCGTCGAAGGCCGGGGCGGATGAGGCTGAGGACGGCAGATGAAGTGCGGAGGGACGAGGAGCGGTAGATGATGATGATGATGATGATGATGTCGCAGGTGCCGCGATGGCAGGCCCTGACCCTGACACTACCGCTGGCACGGGCACCGGTGCAGTTGCGGCCGCACCCGCGTTCACGTTGCCTGTGTCCTCTGCCCTGTCGATATTGGCCATGCCTGCGTTCCTGGCCCTGACCGTATCACTGCTATTGCTACTGCTGTTGCTACTGCTAGCATCATTGTCGGTTCTACTGCTATGCGCCGATGGGCGCCCAAGAGGAATTACAGTGCCCGCGGCCGCCATCCGCGCGCCGCGTTCCGTGCGCGCGTCGGACACAGACGCCGGTGTCGGAGCGGCCACGAGGTCCTCGTCCCCCTCGGTACTGCACGCCGCGAAAGTCACGGATGCAGCGGCCGGCGTCGCGTCCGGTGTCCGGCCAGGCAGCGCGCGAGAGGCCCCAACAGGCCCGCGATCGCTTCCCGCATCATGGCCGCCGCCGTTAGCTAACCGGCTCTCGGTGCCATCGCCATCGCCGCCTGCATACGTCGCCACAGCGCGAGGCTGGGCAGTTTTGGGAGCCGTTGCCGTCGATGCGGATGCTGCTGCCGCCGCCGTCGCCGCCGCTGCCTGGCGCTCCGTAAGGACGGCGATTCGTTCAGCAACCGCGGCCGGAGGCTCCGGCCAGCGCCTCTCCTCAGCGCCTCTCGGCGCTGCCGTTGCCGATACCTCCTGCCGCTGTCGCTCGGCCGCCTCGGCAGCCGCTGCTGCACGTGCCTTCAGGTACTCCCGAATATCCCGGACACGCTCCTCCTCTTCCGCCTGTCGCTCTGTCGTACACACGAACACTGAACGCGAGGCAGGGCGGCAGTCAGCGGCGTCGATGCCTACACTGATGCACCGAGCCGTGGCCACCGCCGTAGAGGCTGTAGCGCCACCGTCACCGCCCGAGGAGATTGCTTCCTTGGATGGCACCGTGACCGTCGCCACGGTGGCGTCGGAGAGGGTCCTGCCGCCCCGTGTAGGCCGGGTGGCTGCTGGATTCCCCAGCGCCGTGTTTATCCGCGCGAGCGCTTCGGGTGCGGCCGCGGCCGCGGCGCCGGCGGAACCCCCCGCTGCAGCGGCAACACGAGATGGCGGTGATAGCGGCGGCGACGCAGCTTTGGAGGCCGGGGGAGCCGGCGGCGGTGCGGCCGCCGCTGCCTCGGGGGCAGTGGATGCGGCCGGCAAGGGTGCTGGCGGGACGGGACGGACCTGCAGAGCGGCATTGCGATTATTACATATATACGGATCACACAATACTGGAGGGCGGCCAGCTAACGTGGTAGGGTACTAGAGCTGTACTACACCAGGAAAGCTGCACAGGGCGTGCATGCGTATAAAGCTACATAACCATGGCTATGTGGACGTTTTTGTACACCAATCCATTTCAATGGGCCTGACAGGGCCGTATTCAAGACCCGGCCACGTCGTCAACAACACCAGGTCACAAACGTGGCATCGGCAGCCAAGGCCTGCGCGCAAGACACACCACCACACCATCAGCGATGCGCTGCGCCGCAAACCCCCCGGCCCCTCCTCCCCTCCGACGTGCAATGCCGCGCGGCGCCCTCCGGCGGAGTTGGCCACCGTGAGGATCTTAGGAATGACGTACGACACGGCCTTGGTCTTAATGTCCCACATTCCCCACATCCTGGCTTCCTTCCCCCCATGCCATGCTCTCTACCTCCGGGACCGCCGTCTTGCCATCAACGCGATCACCATCATCAGTTGACTCGCCGCCTCCGCCACCGCTGCTGCTGTCGCTGCTCGCCGCTGCGAGGCGCCGCGACCGGCGCTGCGCCTCCAGTGCCTCCGCCTCCCGGCTGTTGCGCTGCGCCTTCTCCGCGATCGATTGCCGCAAGTCCAGGACGACCGGCCCGCTGCCGCCGCCAGCGGCAGCGGCGGCAGCACCCCATGGCGGCGGCGGTGGTGCCGTGGCACCACCCGCACCTGCGGGCCCCGCAAAGAACTTGAACTTGGCCGGCAGCGGCCCCGTAGTGCTGCCTGCAGCCCCGGGCGCCGGGACCTGGGGACCTGCGGTGCAGGGGGGGGGTCCGACCATGGGTTGCAAGAAAGAAAAGTGGGGGAACAGGTAGCCGGCCGGGCTGAGGTGGTATGTAAGTATGTATGTATCTATGTGCGTTGCTACGGTCACCAGATTAGCATGGCCCCTGCGCAAGGATGACACGCACAAATCGAGAAATGGTTCCAAATTTTACCACCGTCGGTCGTACGGTGTAATCAACTTTCAATAGATATGGTCCATGGCCTCCCGGCTTTGACGGACCCCCCCGCACTCGTGCGGCACTTGTAACTTGTAACTTGCTACGGTCACCGTGGCACCCTGCATGCACCGCTTCCCGTGTATTTCCTGTAAGTCGCGGACGGGACCGGCATAACACCCATCAAACCCCTAACAGTCCAATGCATAAGTCTCGTGTCTGGTCGGCACTACTGTCTTGTACAGTTCAAGGTCCTGGGTTCGTTTCCTGGGGAGACCCCCGACATTGTCGGGAGCGTGAGATTATGGCTAGCTGCTGAGATGTGGAGTTGGGGTCACAGTTGATGGACCGAGATTCGCACGCTGGATTGGTAGCGATTGCTGAACCCTCTGTCTCTGCGGATGTTCGGATGCATGGATGAGGATGGATCCTAGAAGACAGGATCACCGCCTTGGACTTCCAGTTCACATGGCGTAGTACAGTGTGGTAATGGTGGATGGTGCTGTATGGTATGATCAATCGTAGAAATGACAATGTGTTCAAATGGCCCAGAAGCCTCCCACTCTGTAACAATTCAGATTCAGATTAGTCGCGTGTGGTTTCGGTGCTCCGGAGGAGTGCCGCCGTAATGACAAATTCAGGCCGGGATCGCCGACCTCACCCAGGCAAGCCTTGAGTGCTCTCCCACCTCCCCCACCTGCAGCAGTAGGAGCAACCGCCTCCGTGCCCTGCTCCCTTACCACCACCGCCACCGGTGGCAAAGTAGCCACAGCTGCTTCAGCCACAGCAGCCACAGGGCCTGCCGCAGCCACAGCCATAGCCGCCTTCCCTGCAGGCTCCCTCTGGCCCCTCCCGCTCCCGCCCTCGCTGTCAACCACAACCTCGCGGGCCCCGTGCCGCACTTCACCCTCCGTCCTGTCCTCCTCCTCATCACTCCACAGACTGTCCGCGGCTGGCAACGGCTCCATCGTCCACACACTGCCACCAACAGCGCCTGGGCTGCCGGTGCTGCTGGCCAAGCTGCCTAGGGCCCCTGCCGCTGCCACGTGCCCGGGGCGCCCCGTCGGCTCCAGATCTGCCGTCCCGGCTGTGAGTCTAGCGATAAGGGCGTCCAGGTCATCCAGTCCCAGACCTGCCACCGTGGAGTCCAGGGTGAGGCCGCTGGGAGCCACCAGGGGGCCCTCCGACTCCGCAGCCTGGGAAAGGCATCCGCGGTGGGAACAGCGAGCAAGCAGGTAATATGGCACCGTTCCTAGTCACCAATCCTTTCCGCTCCCTTTGCTCCTTCGTTATATTCGTTATATTCCTTCGTTAAATCGAGACGTAGGACATCATGTCGGGTACAGCTCAGGTCAGGAGTCAGGTCCCACAGCTCGACTCGTCTTTCCTCCCGAAATCACTCTACATGTAATCCTTTACCCCTCCCCACCGCTCCCTCTTGCCAGACACTTCCTACTACTACAAATCATAACTCTTTATTACCTTGATGGCTTCCTGGAAATCCTTCAGGATTAGTAACTCCAACTCCTCACGTTCCTGCTGCAGTCGCTGCTGCCGTTGCTGCTCCGCCGCCGCCGCCGCAGTCGCAGCAGCAGCAGCAACAGCGACATCAGGAGCAGTAGCGACTCCTCCTGTCCCTGCTGCTAGACCCGCAGCAACCGTGTAGCCAGCGGCAGCAGCGCCTGTGGCCTCCACAGCAGCCTCCTCGCCGTGCTGCTGCTGCTGCTGAGCCGACCTCTGCTGTTGCTGTCGGTGCTGCTGCAGGGCGGCAGCAAGCCTCGCCGCGTCTGCGACCTGCTCGGCGTCTGTGGCCGTCGCGTGTGCCTGGAGGACCGGCGGCCAAGGTAAGGGGGAAAGATAAAATAAAGCAATACCATGCGGGTACGGGGCAGAGAGAGAGTGTGTGGGGCCGTGTTGAGGATTAGGAGCTGCCCGCGGGCACGAAGAACGGGAGGCGTGCGTGTGTATGTGTGTATGTGTGTGTGTGTCTCCAGAAGGAGGAGAAAAGGAAGAAGACTGGAAAGCCTGGATGCCGATCACCCAGCCAGGATGTCGCCCTTTGCCAACTTGCCCTTTTTCATTTGACCCTAACCCTTGCCCCTGGTGGTGGGATGTGCACCCGCTAGCAGGGGTGTGTGTACATGTGTACATGTGTGTGTACATGTGTGTGTGCACAGCCCTGCCCTAGCACTGTTCGCGCACCCTTCGAAGCTCCGCGGTGTTCGCCAACCGCCCCGCCGCGCCAACCAGCCAGCCACGCCCTTCGTACACCTCATCTGGGTCCAAGAGGTGGTCGCCAGCGCGCCAGGCGCCGCCGGCGCTCCCGCCGCCGCCGCCGCCGACTCCAGGGCTAGCTGCCACTGCAGCAGCTGCGCTCCCGCGGACGATAATGCCGATGCGTGATCATTCGGCACCGCCGCATTGCAGCACCACAGCAGACGCCCATGCACATCCATGGGTGTGTGATTTGACAAGTAACAAGGTAACAATAAGGGTTTCTATCAGTGATGGAGCGGCAGCGGAGGATAGCTTGCAAAGTGTGCGACGGGGCGCAATGACGGCGAAGGCGCCAACGGTGGAGTGAAGCAGGTGACGAGTCCGGTGTGCGCGGATGCAACCCTTAGGGCAGCGTCAGGCCTACGGCCCCTCCACTACACCCCTTGGGGCTACCAAGTTGTGTAGTGAAGTCCGGAAGCTACGGATAAGCCGGACGCGGGAAGAGGCGAGAAGGGTTGCCCGGAGGAAGCAAGACGACGAGAGCCCGGGGCAAGGTGATGGAGCGGATGGGCCGAAGAACCAGCCGGGCGCCAGCTCATCAGTGCCTAAGGCGTTCTTTGCGGCTTGCGGCGCATTGTGAGGACTACAGCACCCTCATCTTTCCTTAGTAGTAGGAGCGAGCGTCCAGATAACCCGTCCAGAGGCGACTTTGGATACAGCGAACTTTATAAGACTACGGTCGTGAGCCCATAGTTCCGAAGCTGTCAACCAAAACCCAAATGGATATGCAGGGCGTGGTAAGTAGCGGCGGGGGACTGCTCACTTGAAGAGGTTGCGGAAGGGGCTGGAGCGCGAGTGGCTGCTGTCACCGACGGGCTGACCACTGTCAGGCTAGAATCAGGGCCGCTCGTTCCCGTCACGCCAAGTGGAGAAGGTACGACTTCATCAGAAGCAGCGCGAACGGCAGGTCGTGCGCTAGGGGCGCCTTCGATGCCCCCGATAGCGCCGCATTGGCGGGCTTCGGAACCTGGCAAAACGTTTCCATCTGTCCCGGACCATAAGATGGCAGGGCTGGCAGGTTCCTACGTGAATATGATTTGAAATAGGTGTGAGCCGGCGTAGTCAGGTGCCTGAATACAAACATGCCTTTGCTGACCTGATCGAACAAAAGGCCTGACGGCTCCTGTGCTGCCCAGTTGATATTGCTGAAGACGACTTCAGTCTCGCTTGAAGAGTCGCCTCCATCCGTGTCATTGTCATCTCCGATAGAAGGCAAGCTCTGAGAACAGAAACAGCAACTGCCAATTTAATTCAAATCGAAAACCTTGAATCGGCATCTCCTTTATGTCAAAGGACGCACAGTGATAGCCGGCCGCAAAACCAGCGAGCCGAGAGGATGGTAGCTATCGTCGTCGTCCGAGTCCGAGTCCGAAAGTCGTTCCATGGTCGCCGACCGCACACGTTATTAGAGATATTCCAGCCAGCAGTAAGGAAATGTGCTTTGTGAGTCAACGGAAAAAAAGTCTCAGCTCTAGCTAACCTAAGTACCTATAACGGACAACTCATTCCTTTACCCAGAATCAATTCCCAGGCGCAGTTCGATGGTCATAACCAACGCATCCCACCCTACAACCCACAAAGAACAGGCACCAGACAGACATCTACCTAATTGTCGTACATCTGCACATTTTCAGTTCGTCTTCCCTGAATCCTGGAACTCCGCCTGGCGAACTGACGCCCTTCAAACTCAGAAAGTACAGCGTGAAAGCTTGCAACCTCATGGAAATCACAAATCGCCGTCTCTGCACTTGCCCTGAGCCGCGAGTACGGCAGCGTCCTTGCCCTACCCTAACAAAAATCCGTGAACCAGTGGGAGCTTGATCCACAACCTTCGTGATCCACTATGTTATCTTCCTGAAGGCTTTTTGGCGACACCAAGAGCGCCCCATGCAGTTGCTATGCTACGAAATAACATAGCGCCAGGGCCCGGGCAGCTAATGCCGCGCGCTAGCGAGCAAGTGCTACAGAACACGCTGCGAGATCTGCCGACCGCAGAGGGAAACCGAGCAGGGATAGTCCCCCTCAAAACCTCTCCCCGCAACCCATTTGCTAAAGAAGCATCAAGGCCACATGGCAGAGACTTGAGTTGACAGGGCGATTTCCATGCGAGGTTGCACAGCCGTCCCCAATGTGTGTACAGTGGATTCCAGCGATATGTTGTGTTTATGTCTCAGTCGCACTACCGTCGACCGTCATCCTGGCTCACACTCGCCCACGTTACGAGCTGCAACCACCATAACCGTCACCTCCGCCAACCAACCTCAGGCGCGCGACGCTCCGATTATCGCGCCGCGCCGTGTCGGACGTCGGGTGTCAGATTAGGTATTGTACGTGTGAGGCATGTACGGGTAAGTCGGCCCTTTATGATCATGTGCTGTTATGCGCCCATCTGTTGCTGGCTGTGTGCCCGAGTCTTCCAAACCACAGCTGTGCGACAGGCATACAAATTAAATCCGTTTGGTGGATAAATCGATTACCGTAATTCACAGGAACTTAAAAACCAAAAGGAAACCACCTGCTCGTGAGCGACCGAGTGCAGGCGAGGGCTTTACGTCTCCTTCAAGAACAGTCGCCAAATAGATCCACATCCACAATCACCAGAGCGATTAGAATCCCACACACAAATACGTGCGTACTCTGTAATATTGACGCCAAGCAGGCAGCCATTATATTCATATCATCATACTTGGCACGCCGATATATCTAACCAAACCACAACTGGATGGTGGCGTCGGAAGACACCGATTGGAAGAGTTTCGTCCGCTTAAATAGCGGGGATGCAGCCATCACATGAATCGTACAGCCAGTTCCGAAATGGCGCGGTCCAGTCCGCGAGCGAGCTCCGCGAGCCAGGGACCAGCGTCCCAGTCGTAGCCTGTGCTACGACCCCCGCCCATACTTCTGCAAGTATGGACTTCCGCCTGAGGCGGCGTTTACTCGTAGACATCCACGACAGCTTCCCGCTCGCCATCAGACCCAGAGGTCGGAGCCATAGATCAATTTTGAGCACCTCCGCCATGCGCCCCGGTGTCGTTGCCAGAATACTAACGTCATCAGCATAGAGGAGGATGGACACTCGCTCATTTCCAACCTCCAGTGCATCCTCCGGCCGTGCCCTGGTGTTAACACCGTCGTTTCATATCAATCGCGTCCACAGCAGTTTCGATGTAAAGTCCAAACAGCTCGGTTGACAGTGGACAGCCTTGTTTCACATCCTGTTTTGAGTCAAATTCACCCCCAGTCTTGCCATTCGTTTTGATGACCATCGTAACCTTGTCGTACGCCCGCATCAGCGAGCCCTCTCTCCTGCAAACGAAGCCACATTATCTCCCACGGCACCTTGTCAAACGCCTTCTCGAACGCAATTTGCACAATGATTAGCGGCCGCTGTCCCGATTGGCTATGCCTAGCAGTAAGGTACGGCTCGACAAAGAGATGATGTGTGGTACCGAATCCTGCTCTGAAACCCGCTTGGCCTCGGTGTCTAAGTGGTAGCCCCCCCCCCCATGTGAACGAGCCTATCCAGGAGGATAAGCGCGTAATACTTCGCCAAGGCGCCCCCTACTGCTATGCCCCGGTAGGTACTCGGCGTGCTGGGGTCACCCTTCTTGTAAATTAGGGTGAGGACGGTGGTTGTAAACTGCCGTGGGAAGTCCCCGGTCGCCCTGATGTGTTCCAAAAGCACGTGCAGCCCAGGAGGAAGCACAGCTGCTGGTGCAGCTCCCGGGGGGGGGTGACACGGGGGCTCTTATGTGTTGCCCAGGCCACCCTGTCAGGGTCCATCTGAGAACTGATGTTCTCAGGCCTGCAGAGTGTCCACAGTGTCCACAGCACACGCATTCGGTGGCGGAGCAGCAAAACATTGGTAACTCCCCCGCATTCCCCCCCTTGAGCAGCTTGGACAGACACAAAGAGACACGTTGCCGACATGATTCGATGCTCCTGGCAGCTCCGAAGCACTAAAGTTCCCTTTTAGGGGAAGAACCCCAAAGTCTGGCAGCTCCGGATTGCCTCTCACACCGCTCCGCTGACAAACATGTGCGATACACACACATGCGCAAACACACACGCACGTACGCATGTACGCACCGGCTGTTCGGGTGTATATGGTCGTAGGGGGGATGCCGTGCAGCAGCAGCAGTAGGGAGTCATAATGTACATGCACAGAATAATGGAGGGAGATGAAGAGATGTGGGATCCGGAAGAACATTGGGGTCAGTAGTTAAGCGGCTGGAAGGAAGGGGGTATAAGCTGTGAGGCCACCCGGCCAACAGGGATTAAATGCAGAGTGACGATGAACGTGGTGGCGGCGGAGGGCCCTGGGGGAATTGGGGAAAACTCCTGTTAAGAAAAAAATGACGCTCCATTACCGGATGTGCTGGGAGCGCTCATGCTGCCCATGCATAATCTTTTCATTATTCACTTCATATCCACTCCGAAACCACCTGTACGGCAAGATGATGGCTCTGGTGGACCACCTTCCTTACTACCCGCTTTGCCTCGTTCATGTATACGCGCGGATCATTTTCCTTGAGCAATAAGCAACGTGTGTTGGTTGGTTGCCGGAAATGGATTACTCAGATCACGGCCCTCACACGTCCCGGCGGTAACAGGCGCTGGATTTGTGTTGACTTGTGTTGATGGGGGTTAATTGGGGTTATTAAAGGTTATGAACCGGAGGGTTTATTTGGGACTCAGGATCGTGGATTTGCGTCTTCCGTGGTGTCGATAGGCCGTTTCTGCCTAAGGCACAACGTAAGACGTGCATTACACTCACTCATTTGAAGTCCATCAGACGCTTTGCTGCTGTGAGCTTTCCTGGACGCGCTCTATCAGTGCTGCTTTTAGACTTCCTGATGACAAACGTTTGCTCCAGAACCATTTCACAAGGAAATATAGAGCATATTTTGCATAACTTATTTATAGTCAGCTTTTACAACTTTATTGATACCTGTTAGAGTACAAATCGTATGTTTTTCTTATGCTAGTTAGCGTTGAGCCCGGTCCCTACTCCGTGCATGCAAGGTTTGACGGGTTTCTTGATGCAGGATGGTGTTATTTTGTTGCTTTGGTAAAGATGAGACAAAGTCAAGCACATCTTACTCTCATAGCAAACCCGAAGTCAAGAAGCTTGCCGAAACAGAGCAATTTCAACTGTTAAGTGGTGGCCACCCTCGAGGGAATTCCCCTTTACAACCCTTCTTACCTTCAGAACCAAAGGTGCGACAACGGACAAAAGCCGAAACGGTGGGCTTGTCATTCAAACAGGCTCTCGGGCACACATATGAGACTTAATGATTGGATCTTCATTTAAGTATATCACTTGTTGCACGGGTGCTGGAGGACAACCAAAGGGGTTTGTACTCAGTTTTTCAGTTAGCGGCGTGCAGTCTCCGACGTCCCGCGTCTCAGGAAAGCGGACGGTTCGGACCAATGGCCAGCTTGAACTAGTATCCTTTCTCACATCTTCTAACACGTCTCGGCGAGCTTCCGCGTCAGGGGCCGGAATGCGTGGCGGGTTCCCAACAGGCCACTTCCATGGCCCATCATATAGGCCCCAACAAGCCACTTCCACCACCGGCATATGCTCGTATGGCCATCGTTCCAACAACATTCCGGATCCGCTGCCTGTTGGGCCCCGCACAGAATGGTGAGCATGACCGCCTGGACGAAACGCAGACACGCCATGCGTCCACTCCCCGGCCGCTAGAGCCGTGGACTTCCTCGCCGGCGGGCAAGGACGCGCTGCTGCAGCTGCTTTCCGTCCTCACTTCCTTGGATGGCGGTTGGTGAGTTCTACCTTGTGCTTTCGGCCTAGGTGCTTAACCTCCATTGGCCATGTACGGTGTGTAAGTGCCACATGGCCACCGGAACACTCAGATCCCCACTCCACCTAATCCATGATTTAAACATCGGCAACTGGACATTGGCGGCTGGACTACTACCTTTTGCAGAAAACCCAAAACCCACCTGCTCCTTCCTTTGTCTCCTTCTTCACCCCCTTCGCCCCTTCCCGGCTTCGGCAGGTGGGACCAAGTAGAGCGAGCTCTGGCAGCTACGGCACAACACCTGTCTGCAACTCACGCTTGGTGGGTCGGTGGGATACGAGGGGGGGTGCATGTGGCAGGAGGGAGGGCTGTAATGGGGGGTTACAGCGGGTATGTTCGGGAATTCCCTAGATGGATAAAATGGAAAGGACTGGGTGGGGGCAAGGGATGGTGATGGTAGGAGTTTGATGTGAGGGACGGAAGGCTAAAAAGGGAGGTAGGGAAATCTGTCTTCCCTTCTTCCTCCATGCTTTCCATACGTCCGTTTCCATACAGCCCCGCATCCACCCAGACGTTTTTGTGTGTCATGGATTCCACATGCCCACATCCCGCCCAT